TACTTTTTCTCATTATCATTTCTCTTATCTTCCTCCTGCGCTTGAGACTCCGATAACTGCAGCGGCCTCTTAACTGCGTCGAATAATTCTTATTGGAAGTCATAAACTTAGCGAACTTTTCTTATAATTTTCTCGGATCCTTCGCTCAATCTAAGACCGGCAAAACTTTGCAGTAAGTTTGGCGAGCAAATTAGTTCTGCAACTCGCCTCCTTAGGAGTTCAGACGGCGCCAATTCATTTTTTGTCTAGAGTCATGCGATGCATTTTATGTTACGATTGCAGTTGCAAACCATCTTCCGGACTCATTATAACGGAGTCTAGTTAGAACGGAGAAGTCGGGACTAGATAAATTATTCTCGGTCACACAGCACTGAAGTTAAGACACGAGACGGAAAACTTTTCGGTCACAGAGTCGCAGAAAATGATATAGATTACGAATGAAAATACTACACTCTATGCTGTCTGATTATAAAATTAGAAAAGTTAATAGCCATATTAATCAATATATTGTTTAATTTAGACACAAAGAATTGATGCATGCTTACTTTACTTTTTCAAGCCAGAATTGATTAGGAAAACTATAGAAACTGGGAAATAATTGAATTCCATCTATTGATGTGTTTTATTTGTGAAATGTTAGTATTATTATCAGCCTTACCAAGAATTAATTAAATGAGAATATGAGTTTGGCGCAAATTCAGATTTTGTTCATGCAGAAGAGCCTAACTGTGATCATTTGCCCTCCGATGGAATAACACAAGCGCTGCCGGGATTGTTGAGGTCTTGCAGCGCTTCTTTGCCGGCAAACTGCGACGTACTCAAATTCGCCCAAGGCGTGATCGGAATCTTGATGGAAAAGGACCTGCGTCCTGAATCACGATCCTGAGCGCAGGTCGTAGCAAGCGCCCTCCTGTAGAACGCTAAGCAATCCGCCGTCGGCAACACAAATGTTCCCATTCCATCACCCATCGCTGACTCTTGAAGTTATGACGGAGCTTTTCGAATTCTCATAACTTGGATCACAATTTAAAATCTGATGCATTAACCATACCTCCATTGAGCCCTAGGCAATCCGAAAAGCGTCTCAAATAAAAATTACAATGTCTAAATTCGGGTCACCATCGCATGGCTTACAAGTTCCAGAAATTATAATTTTACGGCGGGATTGAGAAACCAATTCCCTTTGGTAGCCATGGGGGTATGATATTTTTTTCCAAGCCACGCGAATTCGTACTAAAATAAAAAAAACAACGAGAACTGAGCTATGAAAGTTTTATGCAACTTTTATGCTTCAAGTTCAGGGAAACTGTGCAAAAATTTCCAACCTTGAAAATCCTTTAAATGAAAATCACAAAAAATTGCGCATTAAACATATATTCAATTATTTTCATTAATTTCTGTAGAAATAATATTGCCGCTGTTAGTTTAATCCGGCAGTTTATTTGATGTTTCATTGTCAGCTTCGGACTTCAGATCAGGGTTACGGCCGACATTCGCTAATCCTAGTTCAGGGACGCGGCGTCCGTCATCAGCCGCCGATGGGCCGTGCTTGTGGAGATGGACTGCGATGACGGCTGCACAGCTCAGGGCTCTCTGCTGATTCTATTACGTAAACCACAACCTCAATCATATGTAAAATAATTTGTTCCTTTCCGGTGTATGGACTCACTTGCGATTCTTGCTGAGTAGCTATACGCATGTATTATTTTGCAGGAGCTGCGCTCATGTAACTTTCCTATTAAAAATTACTGCATAAAATATTCACTACTTCCTGAAAATTTAGGATAACAGAACCTACGACCAATGTTTGCGATGATTCATCTGTATAATTCAAACTTGAAAATTGTAGACCAGAAGGATTATTCTCTGCCGTACATATTACACAGCGTTCAGTTGGGAAATTTGAATTGTTTTCTGAGTTTGATGAGTGGTTTGACATGACACTGTCTTCTCGTCCTCGCACACGTGTAGAAATGGCAGCACAATGTGTTCGATGTTCTTAACTCATTTTCTCATTTATGGAAAAAAATTGCTATTGTGCTCGTCATGTTCGTCCGTCCCTCCGTGACTTCACGGACGGATCAGAAAATTCGCTCTCTGCCGCTCACTGCAGTGAGTATTGATCCAATTATTTCTCACAGTATACAGATCATTGCGTGGATTAGAATTATAGGGAAATTTATTATTATACGCTTAATAAGCTTTACTGAATACATGTAGTGATCTTTAAACTGTGTGGCTATATAGACACACCCTTCTAATATCTGCAGTGATCTCTATACTGTATACTGTGACGGTAGACCAGTCCTTCTACTGCATGTTGTGAGCTGTACAAAGTCGCACTAGACAAACCTTTTAATGTATTCAGTTCAGTGCATTTATCAGGAGGCGTCAGGCGCTTTTGCTCGAACAAACAATTCAGGCCTATCGCCCTCGAGGGCTGTTTGTCTGTTCGCTTTGAGACTCTGAAGTCGATGCTAAAGAGCAAACAATTAGAAGGCAAAGATCAGCAATAATCAGATTACTTTTGGACTGCTAATGGCTGGCGCGTCACGCTGCGCATGCTAATTAGGGACAGTAATACGATGCAGGCTTGGGGCCTCCCGTGGGGAATGTGAACGCCATTAACGTATGCAGCATTCATGGCAGGTTTCGTCTAAGGCCAATGCTTGTGCTAACCATAGCGAGCGACCGGCGCTAAAACGTTGGGAAGTGACGCTTGAACGAAATTAAATTGCAGCGAGCTGTTGTTACGACCATGCTTTCTGAAGCTCTTAAAATTTTTTATTAATTTGGATTTATGTTGATATATAATATTATCCGTAAGGAATTGTTCAAATATTTTTAATCTTAAGAAGACCTTCCATGTGTTTTGTACCAGTTCGCCATCCAGAGCAAAATCTCGACCATATTTTGAACCAGTGTTGCTAGGACCATTTCGCCCAGAGACCAACACGCAGCGGGCCACATGCTCGATACAAAATATGAGACAAGTTCAAGGCGTCGCTAAATAGAAACCTGAGTCAGCATCTTGATGCGACGCATAAGCCGCTACAAAATCTATCTGTCTGCAGGAAACTGAAGCAAAGGTCACGGCTTCCAGGTCTTCCGACTTGGCGAAACTTCAGGCAAAGGAGGCTAAGTATAATGCCTCTTTAAATAGGATCAATTAGAGGGGTAACGCTCTTAGAATGAACTATGCGAGACGTAGCAGCGAGAAGTAAAAAATAATTGCCCCTTCGCCCCAAGAGCACCATTGAAGCATGTTGGAGGCCTCAGAGAGATCCTTCTCACATCCTTCAGTGGCTCGAGAAATTACGAAGAGAGAGGCGACAAGCACTCATCTTTGCATGATTTGTATTGGATAAAATCCCATACTAGTAATCAACTCATTTTATAATGAATTGACAATAATTAAACTAAGACTCGAATTTATTCTTTCTTATTTAGCAAAATCGATGACCCGCCGAAAGATCACCTACAGAACTTTTCTTCTTCCGCATCCACCAACATTTTGAGCTACTAAAAATTGGGTGATCAATTTCTTCTGCCAATAATTCTCAGTGAACTGGAAATTATTTCTACCTCCAGTTATTCAAATTTAGTCGTGGAATGGAGTCAAAAGATCAATACAGAGGACCGCCAAGAATTCTTTGTTGCGGCAATTATGGCTGTGCTGTGCGCCATCGGGCATTTCTAAGAAGCTCCACTTGTTTTCCAATATCACGTAAGAACCTCGCAAAGACGCTCGCTCAAGTCTCGCTTGGATTCAAAAGCCATTAGTTGTACTTTTCAGACTACGAGACGGTGCAGACTGCGAGATGGTGAAGACTACGAGACAGTGCAGACTGCGAGACAGTTTAGACTGCGGGACAGTGCAGACTGCGAGACAGTACAGACTGCGAGACAGTGCAGACTGCGAGACAGTTTAGACTGCAGGACAGTGCAGACTGCGAGACAGTACAGACTGCGAGACAGTTCAGACTGCGAGACAGTGCAGACTGNAGTGCAGACTGTGAGGCAATGCAGACTGTGAGGCAGCGCAGACTGTGAGGCAGTGCAGACTGTGAGGCAGTGCAGAGTGTGCAGGCGGTGCGCAGTCAGTACAGACAAATAGCTAGCACAGATTTCCCTTGATTGTTCCTTTTACATTCACTTTCTCTCAGAAAATTTTTCATTGTAACGTGGATTTCATATTATTAAGAACTAAATTGATCATGAAGACGACAGCGACATACATGGTGTTTCAGAATTAAGTAACCCTTTTAATTTGTTAATAAATAAAAAACTAAGAACGTTATGAAGTTGAAACTTGTTTTATTTAAAAGAAGAACATTTTTATGGTAATATTGTATCCTAGTTTTTAAATATAATATCTTTTAAATGCCCACCACAATTGTTTTGACAAAATAGGGCTCTTCTCTTCGTTGCTTTCATAACCTTCATTAGTGTTTCTGACGAGAGTGCAAATTTTTGATATCCGCAAATTTTCGATAAAGATATTTAAATGTGTTTTTTGAAGGATCCTTGTTTTGAAATGGATCCTGTAATCACGTTGAACTTCTGTTATTGACATCGTTATTGACTGTAGCGATAATTTTTGTTCTTTCTTCTTTGCTGTAGCGAATCATGATGAAAATTTAAGGCTTGATAATTAAACACAAATTTAGCAAGCTATACAGGATAATGACGTAACTATGATACAATATTACCATGAAAATGTTCTTCTTTTAAATAAAACAAGTTTCAACTTCATAACGTTCTTAGTTTTTTATTTATTAACAAATTAAAAGGGTTACTTAATTCTGAAACACCCTGTACCTATTAGCTTCACTATTGCACCTGGTCTGGAAATTGAGAAGTGATTTCACTCATTTTCTGGATCTAAACGAAATTTATGTACCAATAATGACCACTTGCAAAATTTTATTGTTTGCGAATTGACCACCCAAAACAAACAATATCTTAGCTATCGCAGAGGAAGAAAAAAAACACTACAATAAAAAGAAACACTTTATTTAATTACATATAAAAATAAGGTTTGTGGGAAGCGATGAGCAGCGTGAGCAGCGGAGCGGCCATGAGGCGGAGGAGCCGCCAGTGCGGGGCGCATGTCACGGACGACCCTCCCTGCATCGCTGCTGGGTACTCGCCCGCTGCGACCATCATCGTTATTGTTAGTGTTGGTGGAGAGGTTTTAAGCCTAATTATTTATAATTAAGAGGTCCATCATCGTTATTGTTAGTGTTGGTGGAGAGGATTTAAACCTTATTATTTATAATTAAGAGGTCCATCATCGTTATTGTTAGTGTTGGGGGAAAGTTTTTACACCTTATTATTTATAATTAAGAGGTATAATTAATAATAAGAGATATATTTATTGTTATACCTCTTTGTTATATTATTATTGTTATACCTCTTTTGTGCCTTATAAATAATATATAATTCATATTACAAATTATTTTGTACAATACTTCACACAATCTAAATATATAAGTACAATATAAATTTTTCATACGGAGGCAATTTTCTTGTGCGTGGGTGCGGGATGTAAAGCTTTATTAATGAAACTTCAGCGTATAGTCAATAGAACGAACTTTACTTGATATGACCATTAATTCATGTCAATGTCACCATTAGTAGGGTCCGAAACCAATTTGACTGTTCTAAAACTTTTGCAATTGTTCAACAGTTGTTGAATTTGTTCATTGCATTATTTCTTTGCTTAGAAAAATACTGTGATTCCATTTAATCGTATGAAAATCTATGTGATGTTCCTATTACATACACTCGCAAAAGCCCCGTTAGAGTACAGAAATACTTTCTACGTATTTCGTTACTGTAGCGGCAAAGTTGGCGTTTATTATATAGAAGCAGTTTATCGTAAGCAATTAGTATATATGCAGTGATTACATTTTAAGCAATTATTCATCATTCAACCAATAGAATATTTCCGCGATAATTTCTGTATTCAATATCTTAGGTAAATGGTTCTAAAATTCAAGTGTCGCTCACATGATAAAGCATCAAGACCTACGGAACTTGATGGTCAGATTACATGACTGGGCGGAGTGATGTCGTAAAAAAGTCTACGGTAAATACGCCTAAGATTACAGTATCCAATAACTGAATTTTTGAGGGTAGTGGGTGAATTCAACGATTATGAATGAAGAGAAATTTTAAAAATTATCAATGGAATTTTAAATTTAGGGATAAATATGTAGATATTACTTGCAAAATTTCAATCCCAATCAAACCTTAACCAACCCTAACATAAAGATTTCTGAATTCTAATAAACAACTAAATATTTAAATTATTATTTTTTTTTTGTTGTCAAACATGCGTTTTCTGAGAAGCATTCTGACCTGTGAGCACATGCACAGTGATGGAATGCTCTCTGGAGTGCGCAGGGCTGCAGGTGTATAGGCCAGAGTCAGATGGCCGAGCGTCCTTCACGACGAGCTGACTGATGGACTTGTGGCCCAGAGTGGTGCGCATCCATACGCGCTGACCATCCTCACGCACCATCTGCTCACGTCAGCCACGTGAATCTCAGAGTGGAATTTAAAACATAATTAAGTCAGAAATTAATTAGTTTGTTAAGAAATTTTTGCTAATGATTGAAAAATAATACAAAAATACAAAAGATTGAAAAATATAGTTTTTCATGAATAAGTTGAATTGAAATATTAATCCTGTTATTAGAGTGAATATAAAAGCGCAATGTATTCTAAAAGAGGTTACCTATATAAGTTCTACTTGGAACATTTTCTTCTTATATTAACACGTACTAATGTCTCGCTAAAGCGATACGTTATACATATAAGTACTGCCGAGACATAGGATACTATAAATAGTGGCATCTATTGCACTGTTCACGTCCTCTTATCCCACAAGCCTTGGTTACCCTCACCCGCTCCTTGTGGTACCAGTGGAGGTATTCGGGAGTCTCGGGGGAGTAAGGGACCACGCACGTAAGGTTGATGAGGGATCCAACTCCCACATGCATCTCAGGGGCGCGCAGAACTTCTGCTTGAGGTTCTGAAACAAACGCCAAAGCCAAGTTCGAGCGGAACATCCGAGCCGCGGGCTTGTAGTTCACAACTCAAATTTACACCGAAGTTGGGAGACGAGAGCTGTACTGCATTTAAATGTAGTTTGTGGTGGTGTTAGCAAGGCGTCTGATGGAAACTGTTCCGGGGCAGTTATGATAAAGTGGAAGTTAGTGAGAGGAGAAACATTATTGGAGGTAGTTATTTTTTGTCATAGCGTCTGTTCAATGGAAAATGTTTTTTTTTTTTGTTGAAACGCTACAAAATTTTGTAGCTGGACAAAAAATATTTATTTACGTATTACATTACTGAAATACTACACTCGTTGAAACGAAATATGTACAATTTATTGAACTTAAATTTCTAACCATATCCTACGCAAAAGAAGCTTTTTCTTTCTTTCTTTTTATCATAGAAAAAATTGGGGAAAAAACCGGCGTCTTCGGTTAAGTTGACGATGGATGGATGACCACATCTTACGTCGACGTCGCCGCTAAGAAGCCCGGTGACGTGCATGGGGACGCATTCGTCACCGCAACGAATCTTGATACGTCGAGATCCATGATTCTTCAAGCCATGAGCGACATTAGGAATTCATGGAGCTATGAATATTCAACCTTGGTGCTATCTAAGTCTTGAAATCTCACGCAATACTCAGGGAAACAATGAACGAGTACTTAAAATCGAGAAGATTATTCACCGTACTCACCTCGTTTTACTTCTGTTTTCCAGAGCAATAGCATATTTTCGTAAATAAATCTCATTACCTTTGTTTTAATAATAAATATTTTGTATAATAAAAAACGGAATTGTACCCACGAAGAATATAAATAAAATAAAAACCTGCACAGACCATCGAAGCAATGAATGGGACAAAAGGTTTATCTTACGACGAAATGTACATACCACCGAATGGGCTTGGATTGTGCATTTTCTTCGATTCAAAGGCAAAATGATTACGATTCATGTAAATTAACTGACTCACGTTTTTCGCGTTACTCAATATTATTAGGCTAACGAAATATTAGAATTAAAAAGATTGGATGTTTCGGAGCAGTTGTAACGATAGTCGGTAATTGCCACGGAAGCCGAAATGAAAAAATTGACTCAAAATTGCCCTACAGCTATTGATATCAGATGGCAGCTGTGATCATTCACAGCATACACTATTGTCTTACTGGCATTCATCTGATTGCTTCAACGACTCACAAAATATTAACACGCGATATTCAAAAGTGACGGTTTAGAAGTGGTGAGAATTACAGTAAACGAGCCTCGCTTGTACGTGAATGGCAATCGCTGGGATTAAATATAAAAGCGAGACCTCATTCTCTATTGGAATAATTGATTAAATGCCTCGATTCGAGTAATTACGGAGAAAATACTGGAATATTTTGTTTTGATTATTTGTTTGCGAATATTATGGCATACAGTAGAGAATATTATATCAACGGTAGATCAGCGGTTGAAGATCATTTATTCGTGGTAGAAATGCCATTAAAAACTTTGGACTTACGTAAAATTTCTCAAAATAAAACAATAATCGTCAGGAAAGCTCACTCATATATTTAAATCCCTGCAAATCTCTCTGAAAAGAGGCATTGATTATAGGGAACGCTCATACAAATTTTCGAAAACCGCCAAATTTCTCCGAAATAAAGCAATAATCTTTTCAAAAACCCACATAAATATTTCATTTCCCGACAAATTCCCCGGAGATAGAAGCAATTATCATTAGAAAAGCTTGCTTACCCTTTGAATTCTTCCCACATTTCTACTAAATAATGCTATGATTAATAATTATCGAAGGAAGCTCGCATAAATCTGTGAACTCCCGACAAATTTCCGCTCACCGACGACCTCGAGATGAAAAGTGCGGCCATACGCTGGCGTAGCGGAGACCTGACAGTCGTACTGGCCCGAGTCGCGGGGTCTCGCGTACATCAGGCGCATGGCCCAGTCACCCGTCGTCTGGTCGGGCACAACCTGGAACCTGTCGTCGCTGGTGTAGGTCACGGCGCCCACTGATAGGATGTGCAGGTCGCGGTGCCTGATCCACGATACCTGGAATAGATGCCACATTCTTTTTAGAGGAATAATGAGATACAATTTTTTATAATATGGGAAAACTACAAATTTTGTTTAAATTTATTTCAAAAAACGCATATCGTAGAAATATTTTAAAAGCAAATTAAACATGAAAGCGTGATGATAAATTAGCTTGACAGGTAGGAAGGGTAGTAGAAATTGATGGTGCATCATCGTTAACGTGGACGAGGACCTTCAAAACCAAAGCTGTTTTGTTATGTAATTCACGGAAGCATATCCTGACATTAGAAAATTCGTTTTCAGAAGAAATGATCCTTCAACGAATTTTTCTTCCATCATAAGTATCAAGAAAATCCAATTTATTACAAAAGAAACTCACGAGCGGACCACATGAGTGATGATGGAGAACTACTCAAAATATTTATTTTGTCAACACCAACTTCTAACCATAAAAATACAGTTAACCTATACGCTAATTCTCCTGCCGATCCCCAAGATCTCTGAGGAAATGAAATTATCTGGAACTTCAGGCAAGACATACTGAATAATTTATTACCTCACTGAGCACACTAAGAAACGGCAGATTAATGCCTTCATGTTCCAGAAATGTTAGTCAGTTAGCTTTATAAGTGAATACGTTTTCATGGTTCAAATGCTAAAATTAGGCTTACTGAGGGAGTTCAGTTACCTACTACCTAACATACCTAATCTTCTGCAGAGAACATTAAGATGTTCCAATAAGCAGAGACACATGTGCCAACGAGCTATCGAGTGAATGTGAACGAGCTATCGAGTGAATATGAGTATTTAAACGCAAACTCGTGAAGATATACAAGTTGTTTTTTTTCATAACAGCCATAAAGTTTTCCATAACAACCATAATACTTGGCTAACAGGCAGAGGTAATTTAATAATTAAAAACGCCAAAAAATTATTATAAATTGTAACACAAAATATTTTTTTATGTAAATCTCCTTAAATGCAAATTGGTATGTTGCGTAAAATCCGAGGACTTTCGGGCCAGCCAAAAGTTAATTCATAATAATTCTTGTGATCTTTCATCAATGGCTACACCCGAAAAAAAATATTTTTTTTTTCTGTGAATGGAAATTCACGTAAGAAGAAAAAATGCTGCGGCCGCACAAAACGGAAACATTCCGCATGATTGTTTATAATGCGACAACGTTCGTCCCGCTATTGCAATAAGAAAGTTGCTCCAACGACCTCAAATTAGACAGTCACTTCCTAGTGAATTCCTTGCGCTAATGTCGAAACTTGACGATACACGACAATCATGGACGAGTGATGTCGCCTACCGAGCCAGAAGTACAGTTCTCGAGGCTGCATTATTGAAGCTGCCTCTGCACTGTGGTGGAATGACTCGTAGCAACGCGACCATTGACGGTCACGCACGAGCCGCCACACAGACACGCATGTGTGCGTAGCTTGTGTGTGCTACACGCAGTAGACAGACACGTATGTGTTCGTGGTTTGTATAGACGTGTCTGTCTACACGCGGCAGACAGACACGTATGTATGCGTGGGTTATTTGTGCGCTACATGCGCTGGACAGACACGCTTAGGCGCGTGACATGTGTGTGTGCGTAACATGCACCAGAAAGACACGCATATGTGCGTGGCTTGTGTATGTGTGTTATATGTGCTGGAGAGATACTTTACACTATTCGCTAACAATGTGTGCGTGGTTATGTGTGTGTGTATTGGTTATATGTGTGTATGTGTGTGCTACATGCGCTGGACAGACACGTATGGGTGCAGGTCGCGTTGGGCTACACGCACATCTGTCACTCACCTGACGCGTTCCATGCGAGATCAATGACAATAACACGACACGCAGACGCCCTGACCAATGAAGTCTGTTATTTGAGGCTCTTATTCTCATGGCGTCGTGCTCTCGGTGCAAAAAATCCACAGCGTTTTTTATGCACTGCAGTATTGAAGTGGAGCTGCGGCAAACGAAGTGACGAATGGCGCCGTGCATTGCCAATAAAAGCATTGATTGTCCTCAGTGTGATTGTGTCTGTGTGTGCAGCAATTTTTATGTGTCTTTATGGAATTTAATAATCTTACGTAGAAATAAAAATCAAAATCATGTCCCAAAAATTATATAAATCCAGGATCGCTGAGTTTCTAAAGAATTTGTCTGAATACGTAGGACATTTTGTGAACCATTTAGACGCTTCCGCAGACGCCAGTGGTTTTATCACTTCGAAGCGACAAATAAGCCGGACCACATTTTCTCGCCGTATTTGAGAACGATGTAGTAAATTTGCTTGGAAATCTAGCGAGTTGTTTGCTTCGGGACAGTGGGAGCAGGTGCGGGTAGATGGAAGCAGATGGGAGCCAATGGGAGCAAGTGGGAGCAGATGAAAGTAAATCGGATGACATCTGAGAAGATTGCATCACATCTTAACAGATCTGAGCAAATAGGAGCGGATAAGAGCAGATGGGAGCAGATGAAAGCAGATCAGAGCAGATCAAGGCAGTTGGGAGCAGATCATAGCAGATGTGAGCAGATGGGAGAGGAAAGAAGCAGATCGGACAAGATCGGAGCAGATGGTAACAGATATATTTCTTGTAGACTCTCTCTAGTAGACTCAAGCTGTCATAATCGTAATATTACTCGAGTCTAATCTCTTTGTTTTTTAAGGTATGATCTTCAAATACTTGGCAGTACCATCGAGCGCAGTGAGTAATGGCTTGGCTTAAAATTTTAATAGTGGATCGCAGCAACCCACCTCACCTGCGATGACTCCCTGCACATCGTGCTTACTTGACTCAAACTTTCAAGCTTGCACACCACGCACAGTGCCTCATCCATATATTCTCAATAGACTCAATTTACACATAGACTAAATTTGCCCGATGACTCACTTTAACTTAAGACTTAACCTACACGAAGACCTACCGTGGCCGGAGGCTCACCCTACGAAGACCTACCGTGGCCGGAGGTTCACCCTACGAAGGCCTACCGTGGCCGGAGGAGGGGGGCGGCACCACGTGGCGAGGGGGGCGTTTAGACCAGCCATGAGCGTGACCTGAACACACATATGTAAATTCGTCACTTCATTTGATTTTTAGGCTTTTATTCAGCTGAACTTAATATTGAGTCAATAAAGAAATCATAAGTTCTATATATAGAACAATTGATAGAAGTGAGCCCGGAAATTTGCTAAAAATTCTATCGTTTTTTTCCTAGTAGACCAACGATCACTTATTGAATAATTCTGAAATGTCAGTGAATAAAACACGGAAGAAAAGAAGAGAGCAAAATGACAGTGTGATTATTATCATACTTCCAATAAAAATTATATGAAAATATTTTTTGGCGTACTCTTGGGAAGCCTTCATAAATTGGATGAGTGAAAATCTTTCGTGACGTGCAACGAGAAGTTTGATTTAAATTATGCACGTCACTAGAGCCACAAAATTGAAAAAAAAAACAGCGTCATCAGCCACTGCTGCGCTATGCCTGATGATAGCATTCGTTCGGCGTATTATAGCAATAGCGCCATCATCGCAGTGCATGCGGCCCTGTCTTAATAAATTGATTCCTTTTAGGCAAATATTAGTTAAAAAAGCTTCAGATGATTGCAAAAGGCAGAGTTAACAACTGGCCTGGATGGAATACCTGCACTCAGAAAATAGGATGTGTCATATTGCATAAATAGTGGCACATTTTATGCAAGTAGCATTGATAAGTAATTATGCCGGGGCCCAACTTGGTCAGAATTACCTAAGCCCATGTGAAAAAATGCATTATCATTTGGCTCATTTTATTTCATGCATTTTCATTCATTTTTCTCATTGCCCTGAGTGTCAGAGCAGGCAGAGAGCAGCTCTCGCCTCCTCCACTCTTCGCTGAAACAAAAGCTTTCCGATGCAGAAGCGATAAACTCGTCGCCTTCAGCAGAGCCTATGGCCCACATCGGCCTCATGGGGCCACATCGGCCTCATGGGGCCACATCTGCCTCATGGGGCCACATCGGCCTCATGGGGCCACATCTGCATCATGGGGCCACATCGGCCTCATGGGGCCACATCTGCCTCATGGGGCCACATCTGCCTCATGGGGCCACATCTGCCTCATGGGGCCACATCTGCCTCATGAGGCCACATTTGCCTCATTGGGTCACTTTGACATCGTGGGGGTGACATAGACCTCATGGGTCCACCTTGGTCATGCATGGCCAGCAAAGGCTTGAGTCTGAGCTACATTGCGCCTCAAATATTGCATTATATAAGGGACTGATGGGAGGCTCGGCCAGTAATTCGCATACATAAATGCCGATGTATTGAAGCGATATGTAGTGCTAATAGATACAGCATTCTACTTCCCAATTAAGACCCCTAAGATCGGCCTTGCAGAGTCTGAGAAAGTTCATAATTAAATTAGGCTGACCGCCAGGTTCATTTGAGTAGAAGTCGTTAAAGCTGCTCAAGAATTTTCCTAATATTGTTTTCTGGCCGCTCGTAGTGGTATGTTATATTTTCAGCACCTCGTTCAGATACCAGAAGATAGACTTCAATTATATTCTTCGATAGTTTTTATAGTTTCAAGTATAGTCAAGAACTTTATCATTGGTGCATCGAGCAATTGCAATAAACTGCATTAAATGCCTGATGAGATGTGCCTTAGTATTTACAATTTATCCTCGAACGATAGATATCTCGAATATCTCTAATGTTGAGACCATCAAAATAAATCAGATTAAAACGTTACTTGCAGACCATAGTAGTCTGAACAACGTGACTTGCAGACCATAGTAGTCTGTACAACGTTAATTGCAGACCATAGTACTCTGTACAACGTTACTTGCAGACCATAGTAGTCTGTACAACGTTACTTGCAGACCATAGTAGTCTGTACAACGTGACTTGCAGACCATAGCAGTCTGTACAACGTTACTTGCAGACCAAAGTAGTCTGTACAACGTTACTTACAGCCCATAGTAGTCTGTACAACGTTACTAGCAGACCATAGTAGTCTGCACAACGTTACTTGTAGACCATAGCAGTCTGCACAACGTTACTTGCAGACCAAAGCAGTCTGTACAACGTTACTTGCAGACCATAGCAGTCTGCACAACGTTACTTGCAGACCATAGTAGTCTGTACAACGTTACTTGCAGACCATAGTAGTCTGCACAACGTTACTTGCAGACCATAGTAGTCTGCACAACGTTACTTGCAGACCATAGTAGTCTGTACAACGTTACTTGCAGACCATAGTAGTCTGTACAACGTTACTTACAGATCATAGCAGTCTGTACAACGTTACTTGTAGACCATAGTAGTCTGTACAACGTGACTTGCAGACCATAGTAGTCTGTACAACGTCACTTGCAGACCATAGTAGTCTGTACAACGTCACTTGCAGACCTTTGCTGATCTTTACAACCGTCACGCTCGCTCTCAATGCACGTTTAACAAATCAACTTACTAAACAAAATAGAGAAGTTTATACGATCCTAATCATAACCATCAAACATTTACGCTCAAGACGCTTAACTCCAATAACTTTAAGTCATCGGAGTTTACAGCATTTGAAATTTATGAGTACACTACAAAGGAACTCGCTTGTATAACTTCCGAGTCAACTAAAAAATGTCATGCATAAAGGACTTTGAAACTTTGCATAAGCGAACTTTGATCCAAGGATAAACGCTCAAAAATTTACTTCAGCGAAAATTGTCATCCGGATTTGCATGTCAAACTGGATTTGCATTGAAAACAAACTTTTTTAATTCGCTTGTTTCACGTCCGGCTTTGGTAGTTTGTTTAGTTTGAACGATTTATTCATGATCTTAATTCCTATAAGTTAATAAGTATCACTGCTACTGCACTGTCAGTATCACAGCTGCTACACTGTCAGTATCACTGCTGCTACACTTTCAGTATCACTGCTACTGCACTGTCAGTATCACTGCTGCTACACTGTCAGTATCACTGCTGCTACACTGTCAGTATCACTGCTACTGCACTGCCAGTATCACTGCTACTGCACTGCCAGTATCACTGCTGCTACACTGTCAGTATCACTGCTGCTACACTGTCAGTATCACTGCTACTGCACTGTCAGTATCACTGCTACTGCACTGCCAGTATCACTGCTGCTACAATGCCAGTGTCATTAGCTCAAGTAGTGTGCTGAATTATTTGCAATACATTGAAGGTTATAACAGTGGTGAATAAAATCTACAACATAATATTCGTCACAGTTATTAACGTTGAGCACCATCTGTAATGGTGATCACGGTATGAGGTTGGTCCCTCACTACACCGTTTGATTGTAATAAGAGGCACAAGTAACACGCCATCCTTCAAAGTCCCATTACCTACCACCAATTGCCAGGTAATCAGGAGCCATTACGACTTCGATCGCACCGCTAACAGCGCACTCAGGGTTACTGGGAGGATATTCATGCAGGGAATATACTGACCTATGTCACCCTAACCCTGATCTTCTGATTAGAATATCCTATCTTAACCCAACCCAACCCTGATCTTCTTATTAGAATATCCTAACTTAACCCAACCCAACCCTGATCTTCTTATTAGAATATCCTAACTTAACCCAACCCAACCCTGATCTTCTTATTAGAATATCCTAACTCAACCCAACCCAACCCTTATCTTCTGATTAGAATATCCTATCTTAACCCAACCCAACCCTGATCTCTGCCTCAGACCGAGTAACAGTTGCAGGTCGGCACCGACTGTACTCAAAGGATGCGTTTGAACTGAACTGAACCTTAGTTAGCGTATGCAGTTATGCATACGTGAACTGAATAATTCATTCATGAATTGATGACCAAAATTTTGATCACAGAAGACAAAATTTCGTAGCGACGTGTTCCTAATAACATTTATAACATGATTTTGAGCAAATTGTATAATTATGAAGCTGCCTTCAAACCATTGTCTGAATTCATTGTTTTTTAATTGCTTTACGAAACTCAGCAATGAACGTTAAAGATTTCACATACCCAGCCTCACGAAATCAATGGAATAAATTCTTCACTCACCGGGAAGCGTGAGTCCATAGATAAAAATGAGTCCGATGTAAGTGAGTCCCTTGAAGTGAACGTTGTTCATCTTGGTAATTTGATTAAGCACGTGAACTTTTTCGCAATGTTCTTCGACGTCAATATTTGTTTTGTTTGAAATTTTTTGTTTCATGAATGAAAGCCTTCGTCGTGCGCAGCGTCTTGAGCAGCGCGGCGATGTTGACTCAGGGTCTTGTGCTTCAGCGAACTTCATGTTCAGCGCGTTGATCTGAAACGAAAAACACGAGACACGTTATGTCGAAAAAAATCAATTAAAACAAAAATTTCGATAAAATTAGGCAGAGTGTTCTTATTGTTCATAAAATAATTAGCACGAGAGGGTTAAATAAGGTGAGTTGGAAATTTGGTTTATTAGCCACGTAAATTTTAAGGACTTGAAGAAGAATGTGACGGTGTTGAATCATAAATGAATGTTGAATCATATCGGAATGTGTTGAGTCATAATATTCTGGTATTATTTACTGATTAAAAATATTGCAGAAAGCAGTAATCTCATATTGGTGGTCAAAATTCGATTTGAAGTTTAGTCACGTGCCTCAAGTCATTTGTAAATGTTTTGAAAGTTATAAGCTGTTCCGATATGTTCAATATCAGCATCCAAAAGCTTCTTTTTAGAGCGCAAAGCAAATTATGTCGGAACCAAGTTTAGAAGCACCATCGTCTGCTACTATCACAATATCTGCCTTGGGAGCTGCAAATGAAACTTTTTCCCACTTTCTTGCCCAGAAACGCGTTATTTCAGTAGAAAGTTGAACTTAAGTGACTGTGGAGTCTATTAAATAGAACTCAGAACGCACGAAAAACGTAGAGCGTCGGACAGCCCCTGGCGGCCGTGCCATTTGTCCGATTGCCCGAGGGTGAGCGGCCGCTAACCCAATATTGTGCCTCACCATCCAACACAATCACTGCACCCCACAACGATTGCACCTCACCATGCCTCACAATCACTTCATTCCAGTACCGCCTGGCGTTGAGGTTGTTGTTCCTCATGCGATTCATAAATATTTTTTGCACAGATTTAACACCAATAAAATTTTCTCTCTCCAGCCTTTTATTTGCTGAGTTATTTTGGTGTAGTTATATATATATATATATATAAATAGATCTCTTACAAGCATACATGATTGTCGCAATTTAATATTAAATAAATGCCCGCTTCAAATCTTGAATCAGTGATTTACCGGCCAAAGTTGAGCCCATTGGATTAGTTTAAGTGTCTCTCCAAAATGTCACGCACTTGCAATGTCTTTCTAAATGTCTTGTACTTGCCATACCTTCCTAAATGTCTTGTACTTACCATATCTTTCTAAATGTCATGTACTTGTCATACCTTCCTAAATGTCTTGTACTTACCATATCTTTCTAAATGTCTTGTACTTAATAATAATAATAATAGCGGATTCAGCGTTATTAGGCCGTAGGCCTGTCGCCGATTCTTAACATCGCAGAACATTTACAGTATTTTGCGGTCTTGAACACACAACTCACTGCTTCAATTCTGCTATGCTTAACCGCCCGGCCTCCTTGCCGATTCTGACCAGAAACTGGCGCGCAGAGCTGGGATCGAACCCGCGCCTCTCTGCGCCAATCTTGGTACTCTGAACTTTAACCACTGTGCCACCCTGCCCATACCTTCCTAAATGTCTTGTACTTACCATATCTTTCTAAATGTCTTGTACTTGTCATACCTTTCTAAATGTCTTGTACTTGTCATGTCTTTCCACGCTTTTTATGTATATATCTATTGACTGGCCACCTGGTTTATCGCAGCACAATAGCAGAAATTGGCGCCTTGAGCGGCAAGATTTTGTGGTGGAGAGATTGCGACAGCGTTCAATTGTCCGCTCACGGAGATCAATTGACATTCAGGACTGGGTGGGCATTTAATTCCAGTGGTTTTATACATTCAGGTCTAGCGTGACAGTCAATTGTAAGGGTTTTATACATTCAGGTCTTGTGAGACATTATTTCTAATGGTTTTATTCTTTCAAGTCTAGTGGGCCAATCAATTCTTATCTTTGTATATATTTGGGAGCAGTGGAACATTTTTATAATGATTCTATACTTTTAAATTCTACATTACATTTCAATATAATGGTTTTGTACATTCAGGTTTATCATTAAATGATCCCTTCGACACTTGAATGGTAGGTATAGCAATGCTCGGACAATTGACCAGTGGGTCTAGCAATGCCCGGTCTATTGACGTATAGCCTGTATAGGTCCAGCAATACACGGTCTATTGACGAGTGGGCCCAGCAATACACGGTCTATTGACGTGCAGGTCTAGCAATGTTCGTTCTATTGACGTACAGGTCTATCAACACATGGTCTATTGACGTGCAGGTCTATCAACGCACGGTCTACTGCAGACCGTCACACATGGCTTCACCAGCAAACGTGCTCTGCACAATAGGCTCCTCGTGTCAAGGCCGCCATGCAAATTCCTGCAGCGGCGCAAGGGACAGCCGCGTTTGAATCATTGTGAGAGGCTTGTACGGCCGTTCTGGACCATTAGGTCTGGGCCACACAATTTATGGTCTTGTGTCCATTTGCAAGGCGGCATTAAAGAAAGCATTGCATCCATTTTTGGATCTGCAGAGCCGTACACTGAACGGTCAGCTCATGCTGTGCTAGGCTTCTGTAAACATAATGAATGTAGAACATACGCAACGGGTATTGCACTTAAGGCTTGAATATGACCATTTACCTGATAAATGGTTAGGGAGAGGAATTTTCTTTGTAACTCAGCTAGTGAACAAGTGATGATTCTGATTCTGATTCTGATTCGTTGATCAAAATTCTGATCAACGGCTGGAAGCTATATTACGCAGGGATAGCGTTTATAAGCGAGTAATTCCCTCCAGAATTGAATGATCTATCTTGAATTCACTCCAGGCTCTAAAACTTATTAACTAGCAAGCATAACATTGGCCGTGATGCATAATTAGTGCACTAATCCTGTGTTGACAAGACATTTGGTTATTATCATAACAAATTTGCTCTTGTGATGAATGTGTTTTCAACTCAGGTAAATTGTGATTGCACTTCGTATCCTTCTATTTCTGCCAAGCTTTTTCTTCGTTTGAATAAGTACGAGCGTAGATTTTTTTTATTCCAAGCATTGAGAACTGAAATGATTACTTTTAACGAAGACAAACCGCACAAAATTATAATGAATGCATTCATTAAGACTGTAATGTTTTTACGATGAATATGTTGTATAGTACCGTGAACACTCATCATCAACCAGGAATTACAATCAAGACCTTCATATCTGCCCTAACGACGCTCCTATTAAACGAAGAAAATTGGCCAATTAGCGACCGCCAACCAAGACTTCAGGTTCACTGCTTCATTAATTTCAAACTACTCAACTATTTGCCGTGGTACACCCTCAGGGTTAGGTTAGATTTTTATAATTGGTTTCGATCGATCAATTGATCACTTTTAATTTTAGGCGCCGTTTTGGACCTGTGCAAAAGACTAATAAAAAATATCATTGCATTCTGAGTCTGTGCAAAAGACTAATGCTAGATATATTGCATTCTGAGTCTGTGCAAAAGACTAATGCTAGATATATTGCATTCTGAGTCTGTGCAAAAGACTAATGCAAGGTATCATTACATTCTGAGTCTGTGCAAAAGACTAATGCAAGATATAATTGCATTCTGAGTCTGTGCAAAAGCCTAATGCTAGATATCATCGCCCTCTGAGTCTGAGGATAAGACTATCTGTGATATCATTGTCCTCGTTTAGTAATTAAAGTACAATAAAGTAATCTTCGAACTCATCATTTTTATTATCGTTTTCTAATAGTCTGTTTAGATTCTCGTAGAGATACATTTCTTTTTCTTGTCTGCTGTCGTGAAGAACAATCAGCATCGTTCCGTTATCCTCATTGTGTGTCCCGAGCGAGTATGCAGCATAACTTTCTGCTACAGTTTGAACATGTAGTATTTCATTGGCATTGATTGCATAATTTCAGTGGGTTTGCTGAGAATAAATATTGTCACTGGGTCATGGGCCACAGGTCAGAATAAATATTATCACAATAAAATCACTAGGCGGAGAACCAGCAAATAAATTTTTCTCATATCATTTGAGTTTAATAAAACAGCCGATCTGTTCATAAAAATATATATATATATAAATGTTCTATTATGTTTCGTTTCTTATTCCCAGGTCGGACGATATTGTTCAGATTCCGTAATGAATCGTTCAGTGCTGTTTTTATGGTCGACATATAAAACAACTTGATGTTGATACCGATCCTGCATTTCTGGAATCATTATTCGGCGTTATTTTCTTTATTTGTACCGTGCAAACATAATTAGATAATACCCAATTATAGGTCAATATTTTGCACAACAGAACTTCCGATGTCACTTTTTCGAATGAGACTCATTTTGCTCATAGAATGATCGTGCGTACTTCTGGATCATCTGAACAGATAGGGAAGTTCAATGATTAAATTCATCCTGGCTGAACTCTGTCATCGTTTATTGCTGCTGCTCACTCAGTTAGACTTCAGCGAAATGAATTTATTCATCAATGACGACTAACATTAATTATCGCCGGTGAAGCAGCATTTATCATAATTATATGATGGTTAAGCACGACCTAAACTCGCCTGCAAGTGAGTTGTTGGTCGCAGTGGGCGGCTAATGTGAGGCAAAGCCCGCATTTTTGTTGAGGTTTAAGCAAATCTCGCTGAGCTGCTCAGCGACGTCGCCCAAAACGACCGCGGCAATGAAAAACGCCGCGCTAGCGTTGAGCTGGAAAAGTGCCAAACGCGCCTTTTGCAACTAAATTAAGAGCCCAACTGTCAACGAAGTTTACATCAAGGCCAGAGAAACCCCCCAAGAACTTTCAAGCTTTCATTTCTTTTTCATTTAATCTGCTAAGTGAAGCCAAAAATTTTTGGCCGGATTTTGCGCGATGTCCTTCATGGAAAACATCGGAGCGCGGAGCAGGCGGCATGTCTGAGCACAGCTCCGACGATAAGTTACCGCTATAAATGCGCTGCACTTTAGGATTTATCGTCAGAATTCGCTTGCTAGTGCAAATATAACTTTGTACATTTGTTATTTTTTTGTGATACACCGCAAAACATTCTAAGGAGTCCAATTATTGGCAATTCATTTCAAAATAATTGCTGCTCATGAATCGCTGCGCTGCTTTTTTCTCTGAGTTTGTTTCTAAGCG